GACGAAGAGCGGCTGCTGCGTGAACTGGCGGGCCTCGAGCACAAGAACGTCGCGCCGCAGCGCAAGAGCTTCTTCAAACAGCTGAAAGACTATTTCGTCGGCGAAGAGGAGGGCGACAAGACCGCCCCCGCCGGCGCCAAATCGAGCGACAAGTAACGACGGAGCCCTGCCATGGCGGATGACCCCCAAGACGAATTCCACGACGTTGACGACGCCCTCGCTGCCGAACAAGCCGCAGTGGACGACATCGAGGCCGAGACCGTCGAGTTCGTCAGCGAGCTCGAGTCGGGCGGCGACGCGCCGCCATCGCTCGAGGAGCAGGTGAAGGCGCTCGAAGACCGCAACCTGCGCCTGCAGGCCGAGCTGCAGAACGTGCTAGGCCGCGCACGGCGTGAGTCGGAAGAGACCCGCAAGTACGGCTCGCTGGGCGTCGCCCGCGACCTGCTGCCGGCGCTCGACAACATCGACCGCGCGTTGGAAGCCGCGGAGAAGGCCGGCCAATCTAGCGACCCGACGAGCACGCTGGCGGACGGCTTCCGCATGGTCCGCGACCAGATCGCGGGGGCCCTCGCCCAGCACGGCTGCCAGCTGATCGACACGGCGCCCGGCACTGAGTTCGACCCATCGATGCACGAGGCGATCCTCCAGCAGCCATCGCCGGACCACCCGGCAGGCACGATCCTGCTCACCGCCCAACCCGGCTACAAACTCCACGACCGCGTTGTCCGCGCGGCGCAGGTGGTGGTGTCTTCGGGGCCCGCTGCTTAATCGGTTGAAGGAGATGAGGGGGATGTTGGTGATAGAGGGGGGATCGCAAATGGGTGGTGGGTTTGAGACGCCTCTGACCCTTTCGAGCCAAGTAGCTGATACATGATGAGAAGAATTAAAGAAGTGGTCGCGAAGCGACCTGCGATTTATCGCCAAGAGACCGAACGCAAAACACTGAACGTGTAGGCGGCCAGAACCAGAGACCTATCTTCATCGTCCGCTTGCGATCCCCCCTATCA